TCAGATATGCAGATGATACCACTCTCATGGCAGAAAGTGAAGAAGAACTAAAGAGCCTCTTGATGCAGGTGAAGGAAGAGAGTGCAAAAGTTGGCTTGAAACTCAACATTAAGAAAACTAAGATCATGGCATCCAGTCCTCTCACTTCCTGGCAAATAGATGGGGAAGAAATGGAGGTAGTGACAGATTTTATCAAGGCGATCAAACCGGTCAATCCTAGAGGAGATCAACCCTGACTGCTCTTTAGAAGGTCATATAGTGAAGATGAAACTCAAATACTTTGACTACCTACTGAGAAGGAAGGACTCTCTGGAGAAGAGCCTAATGCTGGGGAAAATAGCCAAAAGAAGAAGGGGACGGCAGAGAATGAGGTGGCTAGATGGAGTCACTGAAGCAGTCAGTGTGAGCTTAAGTGGACTCCAGGGGATGGTGGAAGACAGGAAGGCCTGGAGGAATGTTGTCCATGGGATCGTGATGGGTTGGACACGACTTCATGACTAACAACAACAACAAATGGCAGGGAAGGGATGGGATAGATAGAGAGAAGCTAACAAATGGCAGGGAGGGGACAGGAATGAGTCCATTACCTGTTCTGAAGGGTAGATGTTTGGCAGTAGTCTCTTAAAGGGCAGGAAGGACACCAGAGGTCCACAGGCTGGAGTGCCAGGCCTACATTCAGAGCTCCCCCCCCGCCACTTCCATTTTTAATATCCCTGATCTTGATCTTCTTACTGTTTCCCTCTGACCTTGTCTCTATGGGAAATGTGGGATGTTCTCCTTGTTTCCTAGCCTACACTAATTGCTGGATAGGTGCTTGATTGCTGTTGATTACCTTATCTATTGTTATTTGCTACATGACCATGTCTATTTTAGTTCTTTGTGTTTGCTGGCTGCTGTTGCTGGGGCAATTTCCAGGTGTCTCTCTCACCTTTGGGTGACTCATGGGGCTCTCTGAAGACAGTGGTCATCTTCCTTGAAGGGTGGTTTGGCTTAATCTTTTAGGGGGAAATGTCTTATGTCTCAAGATCTGTGATCAAATGAATGGCCCCAAAACAATTAGATGCCCTTGAGGCATCTTGATATAACCCCATGCAGTTCCAATGCACTTCAGCCTTTTTTGATCCTGAAGAGAGAGAAGTGGTGATTCAGAGGGAGGCTCTGAGAGGAATGAGAAAACGGGGGAGAGAGACTGTGAAGAAAGATTCAAAAAGACAGACATACCCTTCACTGTTCCCAGTCAGTGGATGCTTACCTAACTGAAATTAAGTTATTTCAGAGTCCTGAACTCTGCAGTCAGAGGGAAATTGTATTTAAGAAATAACTTACCTTTAGAGAACTTATCACTATGAGACACTTGCCCCTCCATTTTATTTCCTTGTTTAAGGGCTTATTGCTCATTTGTTCATTCAAATGTTTGTTTTGCTTCCTCCTCCACTGTCCACTTCTTGTTAAATAAATTCTAGACCTTGATTTATAAGTTGTTCTTTGGTTTCCCCCTTCCCCCATAAAGTACATTATGGTCAGGGGACAGGTAGCAGAAAGTATTCAACAGTGTTTTGGATTAATGAATTTGCTTTATTTGTATTTTAGCTGTTATCATATCCTATTGAAGGATGTCCACGTTTTTATAAACTTCTAAAGGAAAGCATGGCAGAACCGTCTTTCCAGGCCACAGTGAAGAAGCAATTGGTAAGAAATGGAAAAACCTAATTTAAACATGTGATTGTATAACAAATGTATAAAAGACAGAGAAAGGAAAATCCATAAAAACCCATATGTAAGGAGCCAATTACACTCCCTCAATGACCCAGAAGTTTTGGTAATTTGGTGGGTTAAAAGCCTCATGCAGAGAAACCCTTTAGCTTTTTTCTTCTTCAATTTATATCCTGCCTTTTTCCTACAAAGGGCTCAAGGCAGCTTACATCATTCTCCTCCTCCATCTTATCCCCACAACAACAACCCTGTGAGGTAGATTGGGCTGAGAGTCTGTGACTGGCCCAAAGTCACCCAGTTGGCTCCATGGCTGAGCAGGAACTAGAACCCAGATCGTCTGAGTCCCAGTCCCATGCTCTTAACCACTACACCACACTGGCTCTCTCTCTTTAATACAAACAAGCCCCTCCATATGAGTTGAACTTCAACTCCCATCATCCCCACTGTGTTGCCTGGTGATGACAGAACTTATGTGGGATCCCACAAACACTGCAGCTCAACTTTGTTAGCAGAGTTTCCTGATATTCCTGGTTCACAGTTAATGCTAACCTCTGGTTTATTTAACCAATGGATAATTGAATGCTGGTTGTCAAGAAGTGTGAACCCAGCCACACTAAGCTATGATTTATTAATGATGAACAGGTGGGGAGAACTGTGAGATGGAGGGAGAGAGAGAGAACTACTGTTACTTAGAGCTGGATTCAAGATTGAGAGAGCAGAAGTAATACAACATTGCACTTAGTCTAATGTCATTGTTCCCATATTGTAGGCATGGTCAAATGAGACTAAAATATCATATCCTATAGTGTGGCTCAGTTTCATTATCAATTGGTAGTATATACCTAACAGCATCTAAGGCACCACAGTCACTTTTTTGTACAACGGTCAGACAACATACGATGCCATGAGGTCCATGAACAATTCCTGGCAAGTGTGTGTGTGTATGGGCAGTACAAGTTTGGACTGGAGAGCGACATTGCTAAGTTGATTGCAGAAGTGCTAGAGAAGGGGGTGATTTTGTGACCAAATTGTACCCCAGCTCCTCTTGAACTCACAGAGATACTCCTTGCCCCCAGTAGACAGGGGCATGGGGCAGGAGATTTCCACTCTTGAGAAAGGAAAGAGTGCTTTCCACTCTTAAGCACCCCTTCTCTCAGTGCCATTGCTGGAGCTAACTTTCTAACTCCTCACCCATTCCTAGTCTTACTTGTCTTACCTCCCACAAATAGCCCCACCAGGATATTGATTATGGATCTGTAGCAGCAAGGGAAGTGCTGAAGCTCATCCATTACATTTGCGGTTACCACAGCAGGTCTTGCATTATAGAATCAGTTACTCTTGGAATTTGGCCAGCTTTGCAACTGTGTTCAAGACAGATGTGTCTATTAAGTTCTTTCGTGGTTCATTCTTTGAGATGATTTTATTGCTTGTTATACACTACTGATCCTTTTATTCAGTTTATTTATACTGGCATTGCTTTCTATGTTGCTTCTTTCTTTGAGAATCCAGTACTGGAGAGCAGATTAAAAATATGCTAAATAAATAGCACATCAACTAATGCAGGAAAGGACCCTATATGTCCCTGCATATTGATTTGCATGTATAGACTATTTGATCCTATTGCTTTTATCTTTCAGAAATTCCTTTCTCGGTTGTCACTCAACCTGGGATATGACATGAAGACTCTGATGGATTTTAACAATCACAAACTCTGGAATGCATATGATGCTTTACGAGTTCAGGTACTCTAAGGAAACCATCACGACACATCCAGCACCAACAAAAAGTCATTTAAAATAATTGGCTCTTTCAGATGAGAGGCCTTCTTTGTGCAGTTCTCTGGTTTCTTTCACAGATTTTTATGAGGTGTCCTCGTGGCATCTTCCATCTATAACACTCCAGTGGTCTTCCATCTTGCATGTTACTACAAAAGATCCATTAAGGACAGATACACAGAATAACCATGCAATGCTTTTTGTTTGGTAATGGTAGGAGCCATTGGTCTGCGAAGACCATATGTCACATGATCACCCCCCCCCCAATAATGTTGATGACAACAGCTCATGTGGCATAGTGATTGGCTGGTTCCTCTGTCCCTTAGGCAAGTTGCATTAAACCACCTGCTTTGTGGCCTTCCAGGTAGATGGACTTTGAAGATAATTTGTCCTTTTTGCAGCCCACCCCTTGGTTCTGCTGTCCAGCAACACACAACAGCATAACCGGAATGCTTCTTTATTACTTCGAAACATAAGAAACAGTAACTTTTGAAAAACGCACTGAAGGGTAGAGCACACTGCCTCACCCTTCACTGAGAGATCTGCCTGTGCCTTGGCCAAATTGACCTTACTTCACTGCAATTCCATCTACATGGACTGTCCCTGAAACTTTCTGCAAATTCCCATTGCTGCAAAATTGTGTTATCTGAGGCTTGTTTTTCAAAACATGTAACTCTGGTTTTGTACTGTTTCCATACACAATGCTCTAAAATGGTCTGGGACCAGCACAACTGAAGGACTGTTTTTTACCCACACAGGTTGTCTTTTCCACTGCAATCTTGATGTAATTTTCAGTTGTAGTATATTTATTATTATCATTACATACAGATATAAAATACCCCCCAAAACATCTATGTTTCTTATACCATTCTTTAAAATAAATCAAAAGAAAACCTGATAAATTATTAAGCTTTATGAAAGGAATCTCTAAGCTTTGGGGGCAGTTTTGTAAATCGAAGAAGTTCTCCCAGGCACTACTACAACATGACTGCCACTGAGCCTGTTCACCAAGGACAAGTAATTTCCTCAAAAAACTAAATTCAAGGCAGAAGTTTTGTCTGAACCCAAATAGCAAGTCACTCATCTACCTTCACAAGTAGCTCCAGCTGCTTTTCCCAGACTCCTGTCAAAGATTACACCTTACCTCATCTTTACCAGACAGAGGCAGGGGGCCATTATCTTTCAATTAAAAAAAAGTTCTAGCTAGCTGGGCTTGGCAGAAAGCAGAGCTCTGGTCTCCAGCTGCCCTTTCTTCTTCCTTTGGTCTCTCGAGAATTCTCTGAGCCTGTTTGGCCCAAAGGCTTTCTGCAGTGAGGAAAGAAGAGGACAGGATGGCTGGACATCAGAGTTCTACTTTGCAGCCAACCAACATACTAAGAAAAATATTTTGTTAATTTGGAAAAAAAAAACCAATAGGGGCAAGAACACTCCTGTCTGGTTGGCACCATATTGCCAGCTGTAGAGTAAAAGCCTTACAGAAGTCAATCAAGGGATTCCATTCTATTACAAGCCGCTATTTACCGTCTCATACTTAGCTGTATGAACTCACTGGTTTTTGTTCAGTCTGCACTGGTTACTGATGTATTTCCATACAAACAAAACACTAAATTATTTACAGCACTAGGTTATTTGAAGGGCTTGTTCCTTCAGACAAGCTGGCTTAATCCCTCTCCTTCCTTCCTCAACCAAGGCCTTGGTCTTCTTGCCATCCAGAGATCAGCTCTGATGTGGAACTGCCTTTCTCTCTCAGGATGCCTGCCTGGGTTTTAATGTGCAATGAAGACTTTCTAATTTCACTGTGTTTGGGATTGATCTGAGACTTCCTTCATGGCTATTGTATGTTTTAACTGGCTCAGGTTTTAGCTCCTCCCTCCCTTTTTTACTTGCTTTCTTGCATTGTACTTTTTATTCATGCTTGGAGCTACTTGCTGGGCCCCATGTAAACCCCTAAAATGGGATAGAAAGGTGTTTGCATGTGTTCTGATATACAAATAAATGATGCAGTCTGGAAAGCAGTAGGAGAGAGGAATGAGGAGAAAGGGCATACCTTACAGAGTTCTCTTTCTTTCATTTTACTGTAGAAAATTCACAAGCAACCTGTACCATCCTGGGCTGGTATGCATCTCATGATGAGGCTTGGACAGCTTTTGGAGTATTCCTTAAATGTCTTGTTTGGAGGACCCAAAAGAGTAGAGAAATCACGATTACAAGGAGGTAAGCCAGCAAAACCAGAATGGCATCTTTCATGAAATGTATGTTTGTTTCTCTAAAACAATTTTCAGAAGCTTGCAATAAATGCATATTGGAGGGTATATTATCAATATAGCTTCATGCATTACACTTGACCTGTGTATATTTGAAAAGACATTCACTCAGTCCTACAAAAGGTATTTTTGTTGTTGTTTTCAAACATAGTTTTTTAACGTATATCATCTGAGTTAGAGAATCAAGGTGGGGTACAGCAGAAATAAATCTTTCATCCCAGAGACCATATCTATCTTGCCCACTGTAAAAGAACCTATCTTGAGCAATTAGCCAGTAAAAAAGAAGACATGACCAGCAGAAATGGCTGCCTGTAACATCTGTATGGCTTCTCTGTAGGTTTTTAAAAGTCTTCCATTTACATGAATAGTCTCTGGCATTCTGCGGTTGTGAACAGAAATGTGATTATCTGGGGCACAAATTCAATTCACATTTGTGTGGCCAGTTGCACATCCTCAAAAAGAGAGGCCAAAAGAGAATGCATATTTGAATATGCAAATACATATGTGTACAGATACAAATTCAGAAATAATTATTATAATTTAGAGTGTGTGTGTTCCAGGTCCTAAGGGTTAACGAGCCACTGCAAGGTCCAGCTCTCCTTTCATGGCATTCTTTTTCTCTAAATTGCACTTGGACTTGGCGGCCCTTCACAGAGTGGCCACCTGCAGACAGAGGACTGTGTTCCTCTGCAAGTAAGACACATGGCTTACTACCCTAACTCACAAGCCTTCCATTGCAGCATTACAGCCTAGAATGTATTTATTTCTTAAAAGAGAAAATTCTCAGATGAAAATAATTCACACTTACAAGGTGTTATTACAATATACACAATGATCTGACTTAGCCTATCCTCACACCTGCTTTTCAGCTCTGTGGCTATGAATGGACATAACAGATACGGATGATTATGATGACAATGACATAACATTTCTATACTGCCTATAGCCAAAGTTCTGGGAGGGGGGTGGTTCACAACATTTAAGTCATCCATCCAGCTTTCAACCAGACCAAAACCCAACTCTGCTTAGTTTCCAAGATTAGGCAGGATCAGGCACTTCATGCTATACAGAAACTAGACAGAGAATATATTTGCCTTAAGTCCTTATTTTTGCTGAATCTGAAAAGGGGATGGTGATAATAGGGCATGAAAATGTGCTGTTACCATGACCCTGGACACATACATCTCACTGAAATTGTTGTGACCTATGACCAGATTAAGTGTGCTTAAGATCACGGCCCTATACATTTAGGAACTGAAATTTAAGGCAAAAGCTTATTTATTTATTTATTAAAACATTTCTATGCCGCCCCTTGCCGAAGCCTCGGGGCGGCTCACAGCACAAAATAAAATACAATAAAATACAAAAATAACAATATAAAATTAACAATATAAAATAAACAACAATGTAAAAGCTGACAGAAAGCAAGCATTGCAACAACAGTTTCTGTTAGACAAGGGGAAGCCTCTGAACCAAACCAGCAGCTGCTCCTATTTCTCTAGCTAGAAAGGGTTAGCAACATTTAAAAGAGCCATCGGAACTGGAATTGCCAATTCCCAAAGCCCTACATCCGTCAGAGCTGGTGTTACCATGAGGGAGAGAAATAGCTGCCTCTGGCAGTGGCTGTTGGGAAGCAGCATTGAGGGGAAGAGTAGCAGTGAGGTGCTAGGAGGCCATAGCAGAGCAGGCCACCTGGTCTGATTTGGTAACCTATCCACAGCTGCAATCAGGTGTCCAATTCTAAGGTAAGCTTCAGCTGTCAACCCACTGAGTTCCTGCCTGTGGCACAGGCTGCAAATGACCTTGGGCCAGCATTGGCATTTACTGTTCATACTATTCTTTTTGACAGGCTGGTTATGATTGAAAGGTACTGTTCAAATTCAGCATTACTTTGATTTTTTTTAAAAGTTAGAACTTCTCAATCCTAGCTGCAGATTAAATTTTTCATTTCTGTAAGGGTTGTTGGATGAAATTGGAATATTCCAGTATGTTTTGAAATACATCTTGTTCTTGCCAGTATTCGTGTTCTGTATTTTTATATTTGTATCTATTAAGGTGTCCTTGTGAAGGCTATTCTGGATAAACTCACAAAAGCTGCTGAATCTGCTGATGCAACCAAAATGATAATGTATTCAGCAGTAAGTACTAATATTTTAAATTGTCCAACCTGCCACAGCTCCTGTCAATTTTTTGCCTCTCTACCCAAATTGGCCAATACAGGTTGTGGGAATTCTCCTTGTCAGTTTAGAACCAGTCAACATGGTATGTTAATCAGACATTTTACAGAAAGACAGCATGCTTAACTCTGCCATTTTTACATCCAAGGAAAAGCAAAGCACACACAGTACTGTGAGTGAGGAATGCAAGGAAGGCCTGCTTTCATTTGATTACATTTCTATACTGGCTGATAGCCAAAGCTCTCTGCATACCATGTCAGCTAGGGCTGGACCTTGGGGCTGAAATCCAGGGACCCACAGTGCAGGGGTGCTCAAACAACCAGGCAGGGAGCAGCGGTGAAGATGCCATACCAAGCCCTGCATCAACAGCTGGGGTACCCAGCAAAAGATGAAAAGAAGAAAACAGAACTAAAACCAGGCTGGTAAATCAAGGAAGGTTTGCTGAAATAATCTTTTCACAATGCTGTTAAAGCAGCACACCATCAGAGCCTGTCTGATCTCCAGAGGAAGGGCATTCCAAAGAAATGGAACCCCCAGCACTAAAGTCTCTTCTCCAGGTGGACTCCAATCAGGCCATAGGTGCATGTGGAACCACCAAGAGAATGACCTATAATGATCTCAGTGAGCAGGCAGGTTGGTAAGGGAGAAGGTGCTTTCTTGGGTATTCTGGTCCCAGGTTGTTTAGGGTTTTGTGTGTTAGTATCAAAACCTTAAACCTGTCCCAGTAGAAAATAGACTGCTAATGGAGTTCCCTCTTCGAAGGGGTTGGATGTCAAAAAAAAGGAGCAAATCCTTTTGTAAGCAATCCAGAGACTTTTCTAGTAATGGGATGGCATAGAAAAACTTTAAATAAATGAATAAATAAATTCCTCACAACAGCTGGGTAGCTGCATTCCTCATGAGCTCTGCCTTCTAAATCAGCCTTAAAGGGGAAGCCCCATTAGAGTCTAAGTAGGGCTTTCACAGCCCAAGGAAGGGTTTAGCACCTGGACATTGGACATTGGAAGTCTCCATTTTATTCTTGAAGACAGGATAATGCCAGGATTTTAAGTGAGTTTAAAATGCAAACAGACACATGTTTACAGTATTTTATTATTTCTCTTTTTAAAATCTAGGTTGAGTATAATTATGATTATATTAAAGCCACCTTTCTTTTCATGGCAAATAGGTTTTTAGTCTTTGGTGCTTTGCTGTAACTTATCGGGGATGCAAAATGAGTTGTGAGGTTTGGAATGGTGGGGAAGGGAAAAGAGAAATGTTTGTAATACTGACGTAATATGCATGGCCATCTGAAGGTTTTAAAGTCCGGGTTCAAAAAACTGCCTGGCTATACTACCGACTATGCTCTTGATCGCCATTGGAGCCCTGCACCAAAAACATGGTTGGGAGCAAACAGAAGCTGGAGAGCGGTTTTAGCAGGGAATTGATATGGTCCTCTGATGTAGACTGGGTGTGCAGATTGTGGCCCCACATAATTGCTTTTCATAAAAAGACAGACAATAAAATGGCAGCATTAAATGTTTTTTTCCCAAGTGGAATCAACATAACATGCATTTTATCTCTGGTTCCCAAGGTAATTGAAAGCAGCCTCAGTGCAATTCTCAAGTCACATGAGTATAGCTTTAGAAAACACAAAAGTACAGGATTCATAGTCAGGGTGAATGAAACCAGTAAACGCAAAACGACATATCAAAATATGTATTTTGACTTAAGATGTCCTTAGATATGTGTGTTTTGCAATTAAACACATTTAGAAATGTGTTTGTGAGAGAATGAATAAAAACACATATTTAAATACATATTAAATAATTATTGTCATGGAAGTTTTGTTTTTTAAGCATAAATTCATGTGGAAACAGAAGCAAAGGAGTTATGAATGAAAACTTGATACAGACTGAAATAGCCTGATCTGCTTCCTCTTGGACTCTTGGGTGCTGAACTTCCAAGAAATTTGCAGGGTTGCATTTTGGTGATTCATGGGGCTAAAAGCTACATACTATAGCATAAAACTCTTACTGCCAATAGCTAAGCCTAGAGAGGCATATTGATATTTCGGGATGGAGAAAAACTGGACAAAATCTAGGAAAGGGCCAAATGATGAGTGGTTGGGGGCGAATGGGGTAGAGCCACGGGAAGGGTCCTCAGCCTTTGCAATGTTGGCCTACAGTTGCTCTCCATGGTTACAATCAGAGCCTTTCCCAGTCCTGTCTGAAGGTCCCAGGGGCTCATCCAGTTAGCAGCATTGCTGTGTGCCAAGTGCATGTACACCTGAATGAATATAGATCCCATCTGTGCAAGCCATGCCTGGTTTTAATGGCAGATGAATTGTGTGAATGGGGTTCATTTTGTGTACAATGCACAAACACAGTCCTTGGTTCATACAGAGAAATGTGAGCAGCTATAATTGTTTTGTTGGGAAGCATGCACAGTGAATGAGCTACAAATGCTCAGAAACTACTTGTTAATTGCTGGATACTAAGACTAAAGGAACCCACCCTAACGAACTTATATTTGCATGGTCGTATGTTCCTCATTCAGTTCCTTCCTTAGATAATCTTTAAAAGTGATCTCCTTATTTAGATAGCAATGCTATGTTCTTATGGAAAGTGATTTTGGGGTCAACACATAGTGGGGATTTTCCTTTCTGAGGATGCAGATTTAGCTTCAGTCTCTGAGAGGAAAATCCATGTGTTAGTCTCCCCACTGAACCATCTCTATGATGCCTTCCTTTCCAAGGACAGAACGTCAACCTCAGCAAAGGAGCATGTTGGCAAAGAGGCATGCTGGAGATTTACCTATGGGTATGGAAGGAGGCTAGGATCTCCCTTGCAGCCCCCACTCCCTCAGCAACAGTGGGAACACTTAGCCCAAGCGTGGAACTAAATTCTAAATGAATTCATGCAATAGAAGAGGGGGCGGTTTTCCTATCCTTCCACGCTTGCAATCTCATAAGCTCCTGTCTGAGAGCATAAGAGATGGTTCTTCTACACATGCATACCAGGGAGTTAGTCTTCCACTAACTGAGTAATGCTTAAACATGCATGGCATTGCACGTGTCCTGTCATGAGAGCTTATAGTCTTATTTTCTTTCTTTTTACAGCATGATATCACAATAGTTGCCCTCCAGATAGCACTCAATGTTTTCAATTTAAAACTACCTCCCTACGCCGCTTGCCAATTTTTTGAGCTATACAAAGAAGATAGTGGGCAAGTATTAATTCCTAGATGTGATATTATTAGCAACTATTTATTGCAGGGGTGGGCACTCTCCAGGGCCCACAGCACAGCATGAGACCCCTGGAACCAGTGGGGCTGCAATCCTCCAAAGTGCATGGGGAGCATGTGCCTTACTTTACAGCAGAATTAGGCTCCTGATACTGGTAGACTGTCAAGATCCTCATTCTTCAGAGGCATAGTGTGTGATGGAAACTACCCCTGCACACCTTGTTTCTCTGCACAAACAGCAATTCTGCTTGGAAGTGGGGACCAGGCACCGTTTCCCAACTGGAATATTTGGTGTGGGGGTGGTAATAACCATGATAGGGACTAGGTGAGGGTCATGGAAATGGTCTGTAATGAATAGATCATATATTGCCTACCCCTGATTTCTTGCATGAACTTTGCAAGCCATTACTCTTCTCAAACTAGACAGAGCACTACATTTCCACCCATAGGTTGTGAGTGGCTCAAATAAAAACAAAGACATATTTCAGCTGAGTTTGAAATAAGGCCCAGTTGTTCAAAGTGCTTTTGCAAGTGTGTGTGCATGTGCCTTTGCAAGAGAGTAGATGCCTGAGACAGTTGATCAATGCTTCAGGAGCACTTGTATTTTACTGTTCAGAGTTTGGGCTCTGCCATAGAAAGTCTACCATCAATAGATGTGCAAAAGTCACCTGAGGTGGCAGGTGGGACTATTGCAAAACAGATATACCAGTTGCTGAGGAACTTGGGCAGGAGGGTGCTTTGTCCCATGGGCTGGAGGTTGGCTACTAGTTGAGAAGAATGCTGGACTAGTTAGACCCTTGGTCTGATCATGTATGGCTCTTCTTATGTTTTATGTCTTCAGATAGGAATATGTACTTTCAGTCTGTAGCACAGAGGATCATAGCAGAAATTTTGCCTCCATAGATGCAATGTACATTTGTATGTACTATATATGGGTTCATACTCCGTTTTGGCTCAGTTCATACAGTATCTGTTCCTGCAAGGACCATCATAATATGTGACAAACCATTGGGTGTTCTTCTTTTAAGTAAATTCAAGTAAAGTAAATAAGGTATTCAACTGAATCCCTGCAAGATTACTTGCATTTTATCAAAAAGATCAGAAAATCATCTTGAGCCTTCCTTTAGTTAGCAACATAGATTTCCACACATTTTACTCAGAGTTCTCAAAACCTTTTATTTCAAAATAAATATATGCTAACTAGCTCTCCTTAATATAAAGCTGCATTTATGCCAATTATTGTTCTGATAAGACCATGACCTAAGTGTCTTTTTTCTTTTCTTTTTTTCTTTTTTTGCGGGGGGGTGTCATGAAATCAGTGAATACACTGTGGAGATGCACTACCAGAATAGCACGTTTGCTGAACCATATTCACTCATTTTGCCTGGCTGCTCAAACGCTTGCCCACTGGAACAGTTTAGAAAACTGGTTTCTCCAGTCATAGCAGATGACTGGGACCAAGAATGTAAAATTTAAAGGGGCACAGGAATACCTTAAGGTGAGTGACAAAAAACAGAAATGATAAAGTTGTGCCATTACAGGCAGCAAAGTTCTATTGCTGAAACTACACCAGTTGAGTGAATAATTTCCACGTTCTACATATTGATATCTACAGTTATGCCGAATTTCAAACTGTTCTGATAAAAATGCAAATTACAGCTGGCAGTCCCCAGGTTACGAACATCCAAGTTATGAACATTTGTACTTTTGAAAAAACTTTCAATTTTTTTAAAAAAATGAGTTAACAACAAATGGTTCATAGTAACAAACAGAAACTATGGAAGTTTTGCAATCTTTTGAGTTTGGGGCTTAAAAGAATATAGTTCTACCTCTCACTTTGCCCCACCCTTGACAATCTAGAGGAGCACTGGCCTTCCCTGCACCTTTGCCTATCAACCCACTGGTCCTGGGTGGGTTGATGAGCAACAGACTACCCATGCGGTTCACAAGTAATCACAAGGCTTCAAACACATTGGAGGGGGGCCTATTTTCTCCTCTGTTGTGCCTGCAATCTTGTCACTCCACTCTGAGGAAGTTGTGGGGGGGTGGGGGAGGGAGTGAGGCAAAGCAGACAAGTTTCAGGTTTCTTCCAGCCTGCAAGTCTGCTTGGAAGTGAATGCCAGTTTGTTCGATGAGGCATCCTCCCAGCGCAGCAGGCACTGGGTTGTTCTTTAAAGTTTCTCCTCTTCTTTCAGTTCCACCACTTTAACAACCAGGGCGTTCTTTTTCTCTTTAAATGCCACATTCCTTCCAAAGTAATTTGTCACTCAGATACACCAAACTTTGGAACATAAGTCTAACAAGGATGCAAATACAAATATTTCTCAAAGATATATTCCAAAATGTTGACAGTACTTCTGGCCTACTGACATGTTGTTGTTGTGTTTCATCATCTCTCAGAATGAAGACCAAAGTCGAAGGAAGGTCAGAGTAGCAAGTCAGCACCAGGAGTGGAACAGGATGGCAAATGAAACGTAAAACACCAGGGGCACTCGATGGCACTTTCATGTGATCCTCACTATCACAACAGTCTTCCTCCCAACCAAATAAAAATATAAAAATCAAGAAAAAATGCAATAGCTGTTCTGGGGCTACACTATAGTGCAAACTCTTAAAAAGCTTGGGTGCATTTGGTCAAATTGTATAGCCTTCTTGATTTAAAATAGACTTTTAAAAATAAAATCTCCTGATCTATTGCTTATCTCAGGGTGGAATCCTATGCATATTTTGACCAAAATAAAAAATAATAATCCTACAGCTCCTAGCATCTCTACGTCAGCCATTTTAGTAACAGGTAGCATAGTAGGGCTAGCTCAGGGATGTTGCGAGTTGTAGGACCTTTTTTTTTTTGGTCAAAATATGCTTAGGACAGCACCCTTGATCACTCTGGTAGCTCCATTTATCCAAAATGTTTAGCATATTTCCCACTTTTCTTTTTCTAGCCATTAGAATATTCAGATGCTTTCACATCCCACAGTCCATCACAACATAATGAGAGTCACTTGTGTAGTGCATGTTGATCACTTGTAAAAGGTCCTCACATCTGAAAAAAAAATCAGACAAATAGCAAAAAATAGGAAAGGAAGAACACAAGGAAGGAAAGGTACTATAGCAACCACACTGGTTGCCTTGCTCAGACAATTTGTGCCCAATCTCAGGGTAACACTGCAGCTTCTGTTCCAAACAGTCCAAGCAGAATATCTAGTAAAAAGGTTATCCAATGCACCCTTCATAAATGAGGATGCTTTACCTGTGGGGTGGAGGAACCTTTTTTGTGCTAGAAAAGATGTAGGGATTTTCTACACAAGGCATTTCTCATCATACCCTACTCACGGTTGTGCATGGGATCTTTAGACAATGTTGTGACCAACCAGTTTTGCTTCTATGCTTAACCAGGACTTTAAGTGAGTTTTTTTCCAGAGCAGGGAAAATGCATGTAATTGTGAAAACAAAAGAAGTATGATTTCTTCATGTGCATTGGTGCTATTCTACTATACCAAAGTACCACCTAGTGGTTGTGTACTGGAAAAGCTGGAAAGGACAAGCTTATGTAGACCTGAAGATTCCATTTTATTTATTTATTTACATATATTTATAGGCCGCCTATAATTGCCGAGGCCTGCCTAGGTGGCTTACAATGCTTACAATTATACAAGGAAAGCAAAAGCAGATACAGTGGAGTAATAACCATTTTACAGACTTTTGTAGAAAAGCTCTGCATCCATCAACATCATTGGATTCACGGATCAGCAAGCTTATCACTATGACACTTTTTTATTTAAACACTTATAAACATTCAGAATTTAAAGCCTGAATCTAGAAGAACTTTTAAGACTATTTTTTAAATATAAGAAAAAAGGAACATTTTTCTTTAGTTTGAGGCTGTAATCCTATACATACTTTAGGATGTGTGAGGAATCCAGTTTGGAGGTGGGAATTCATCAGATTTCTTCAGCTGTGGTCCTCAGCCTGCTTCTTCTCTGCCCTAAGTCTGCTTCATGCCAAGAGTTCCTGTGGCATCCAGCAGGAAGCAACTTCAAGCGGAGATTTGGGCTTCTGCCTACTAACAGCCTTTGCATACTTTGCATATTACATGCAAAGAACTACATAATTTGTGTACTTTGTCCAGAGAATTAAGTATTTTGCATATTTTCTGCAAGAATTGCTTGTTTTGTGTGCTTTGCCTAAAGAGAGAGCAAGTCAGTGTGGCGTAGTGGTTACGAGCGTGGGACTGGGGCTCCCCACTAGTGTGTCTCTGGGTAGGTCAGGTGGCCATGGAGAATTGGCAGAAGGGGTTCTTTCTGAGCAGGCTGAGAGTGGGAGAAAGGGGATAAGAGCACAGATCTTTAGTTGTGAGGTCAGAGTGATTTTCCAATGTTGTAGTTAGGAACAGAAAAAAATCCTATGGCCATCCAGATGCCATCTAGTGGCCACAGGACTGCACTGTCAGTTCTGTTTAATTTCAGCTTTGTCATACTTAGTTTAGCTTTACTGGACAATTTTACACTTGTCACATCTATTTAGTGCTACATGTCCTCTCCCCAACATTCCAGATCTTTTTTAAACTTGACCCAGATTTAAATGATTTTAGAAATTTGAACTGAAGGGATCATTCAAAGAAATACTGTGAAAAATGTACCTATACCAGATTATACTAGCTCTGTCTCTACTCATGACCTTTTACTGAAACATCCTTTGGCTACAAGAGAAAATTTATCCCTTTTCTTCCTGTTGGAGCTGAAAATAAATCATGATCTAATAGGGCACTCATCTTCCATAACATTCTCCATTAACTGAGAGGGAGATCTTGCATATCAAGCATCCATTTCTATGCAGCTTTGCTATATGAAGAACAGTGCCAGGATGCTTGTATTGGCACCAGTAACACTTAGTGGCATCCAAGGCAGTTTCCTGGATCTCTTCTATGGCTGAGTTAGCTTTGGAGGCGGAGGCCTTGTGCATCTGACAGTCTCCTACCACAAGTGTTTCAGTACCACCCTGCTACCCCAGGATTTGATGTCTGTGACCACTATACCTTCAGCCATGTTCTAATACCAGATCTTGTTATATGAATGTACAACTTGGGATATTCTGATCCTTTCCACTGAGCAGAAACTGAATGGACAGAACTTCATCAGGAAAACCTACCTTACCCCACCTGCATTCATGCACACACAGAGAAAGTGGACTAACATGTCACAACAAGCATTTCTGGGTTTTTCCCATTCTGGACTTGTCGTGATACCATGGTATATCACCACAGCTTGTTTTGGGCCCAGATACCATGAAAAGAAACAATGTGTACGGTTTCTGCTTATTGCAATTATCTGTCATAACATTCTGATCCAGGTGCTCCAATTTTTCCATCTGTGGTGAAAAATACCATCAAGTCCCAAGGAAAGAGTGGCAACAGAAGGGGCAGCTCTAGGCATCCAATCTCTACTACTCATGGCATCCTAGCAACACATAAAATCACTTGTTTTGTTCCTGTTGGCTAAGTCTTGGGCCAATCACTGTTTACTTTCTGAAACAGGGAGAGAGCAGAAGAATGCATGGAGGGAGAAGGGGGAATTGCAGCAACAGCTGTTATTTTAATGTTAAAAAACATTTCTGGGGCTGGGTTTGCTAGGAAGTATTAAAGAGATGGAGAGTTTCTCAAGAGAGGAAACATGGGCAGCCTACCTCAAAATTGCTATAGACGAGTTAGGTAGATGGAGTACAATATATTAATGGTTTATTAGTATAGGCAGATGGGAAATGCTTCGTACTAATGAAGGGGATTTTGCTCTCGGGGGCTGCTAGGAAGTATGGCACAAACAGGAGGATGGGGGAGGAGTGCAGAATACTTCAGCTCCTGCCAGAATTTGTGAGTGTCTGTTGGGGGAAGTGTGCTAAGTTATCACCAGTCATGACACACCCCAGCCTTGCTTGTTGTGACATGTGAACCCACCCATTCACACACACAACTTCATGGAAGAAGAGGCTTTCAGTTGCAAAAGTTCTGGGAAAAGGCTGGCAACTGACAAGAGCTCCCTGCATTTGCGTTTCTTCTCTTCTTCACCGCTGCAGGCCGCCTGTTCACCTACCCAGACAATGGTGCTGGCAAGAAAGAGCAGAGGTTGAGGATAACACCGCTGCCTACATGCTCCAAGCCTGTCAAGAGAAGAAGCAATGCTGAGGAATATGGGGAGAAATGAGGGCAGGTGGGGACATAGGTGGTGCAAAGGTAGACTCCCTGAAGGGAGGGGCTTGTTGAGTGCCTTTTTGGAGGAGAAAGCAGAATATAAGTCAAAGCCAAGAAGAGGTGTTTTGCCTCAAGTGCACTCAAAAACCCGGTGCCAGCACTGACAGAGTTGGCCACTCTTGAGCCCCCAGCTGCTGTTGACCTGTCACTCCAATCATAAATGCAAACTGGTCGTGCTGGTTGTGGATGATGGGAACTGTAGCCCAACAATGCTTGGAGCTGCCAGGGTGGGAAAGGCTGTGAACAGGAGCAAGGCCAGCAAAAGTTCTGGCCACTAGGGGGCAGCAGGCACTCGTGGAAAAGCCTTAAGGGATGCCCTGTTCATGAGTTCTGAGATCCCAGATCCCCAAGGATTCATCAGGGGCTGTGCTTCTTTATTAATTACATTTGTACATCTCACCTCACCAAGAAAAATAGTGTTTCAGGCAGCTAATGTCAATAACCATCTAGATAAAATAGAACACCATAATGAAAACACAAAAGCAAATCAATTAAAAACACAAGTATAGTGCAAAAATGAACCTATCAGTTAAAACCTGCTTTAGCAGACTTCAGCAGAATAGTCAAAAGTCTGCCTGAAATGAAAATGTCTTTGCCTGGCAGTTAAAGGACAACAGAGGTAAAAACTCCCCGGCTTCCCTTGGCAGGGAGCCCTTTTGTGCGCATTAGGATAGCCAGGTTTTCTTTTGGTCTGATTTCAAGGCGATTGTTTTTCCCTGGCATTTAGCATAAGAAGCTTTTTCTTGAATGGAAAGCAGCAATAAGAAAATATTAAATTTCAGTATGTTGGATTGCTGTTAAAAACCTAGGAGCAGAACCAATAGAAAAGCTGGCAATCATGAGCATGCACTCACAACTTCACACAATACACAACAGGCCTCATGAAGTCAATTGATTACTGAGCATGCCTGGATAACACACAGCAGATTATGTTTTAAAAATATTACCTAAGCCAATTAGTTCCTGCCAGGGTTTCTCCCTCACCCGACCTTGACCTGTTAAAGTCATAGTCCAAAGTTCAACATCTACTGCTTTCCCCACTGTGAAAACATAGTGACATTTCACTTGCTGAATTTCCTGCTAGGAGAAGAAAACTATATATCTTTCCTCTTATTCAAATGCACTGAATATACAGCTGCAGGAAAAGTGATAGTGGGAGGAGAAAAGTTAACTGATCACAACTGCAGAGAAGTTTCTAATTCAAAGCATTATCTCAACCTTCCCCAACCTGGTGGCCTTCAGAAGTGTTTGGACTGCAACTCCCAGAATTCCCATCCAGCAGA